TCACAGGACAAGAGCGATGCCCTGAGCACGGAAGAGCTGCGGAAGGAGCTGGCCCTGCACACGCTCAGCGGGCAGCGGGAGTTCTTCCTCCTGCCCACCAGCGCGACCTGGGCCAGTTTGAACACTGCCACCAGTGTCCTCCATGTGAAAAGCCTGCTGGTCAGTCTGCTCTCCCAGCACTGAGCCGCATGGGGGGCTGACAGGCCCCCACCCCTGCATGGCTCCTCTCTGGGAAGCACAGCACGAGGACGGAGGCAGCTGGGCAGGAGCCCTGGAGCTCAGACTCACTGGTAGCAGGCTGCTGGCCCTAGGGCGTTTGCTGCACCCTGTGAGCTTTGGGGTTGAGCTGCCACACAGCTGCCCTCAAGGAACATGAGCAGTGGGCTCTGCTCTGCTGCAGGGAGAGGGCAGCCACCTCTGCCAGTGCAGGGACGAAATCTCCCTTGGGATGGAGACACAAGCACGGCTCTTACCTCCTGGTGAGCAGGAACCTGCAGCACAGGGACAGGCCCCTTCACAGCAGCCCTGCAGGATATTAAATGAATGGGGCTGAACAAGCGAAGTAGCCTTCTCACCCACTGGCCTGGACAGGTTGTCCCAGGTGGGCTCTCCTTCCCAAATACCATGAGGATTTACTGCTGGCAGTCCTGCACCGCAGCCCTGCCAGTACAACACACACCAGTGGGAATAACCTGCTCAGGCTGCCCCTCACTGGGGCTGAGCACAGCCCTCAGTTCCCCCAACTCTGTATTTAAAGCCCTGTTTATGAGAGATGAAGCCAGGCATCAAGCAGCCCGACACCACCGCTTCACCTTGAACAGGGGTAAAGACAGCTGTTTGGCAGGAGCTGCGCTCAGCAGGCATTTACCCCACTGCCTGGTCTCCCTCCTGGCCCAGGAAGAAGGGGAAGGAGCCAGGCTCAGGGCCCGCAGGAAGTCCTGCTTGCAGGCAGAAGTGCTGCTGGATCAGTCCACGGGGCACTGCGTTCTGGAAAACCGATCAGGGAAGCTGAGGAGCACATCGGGGAAAGGGAGTATGCGCTGGCCGATCTGCGCTGCAAAACCTTTTGTAATTTTTGCTCCTTCTTTTTGTCAATAAAAGAGGCTGATCACTTTGTGCTGCCCTCCAGCTCCTTGGCAGGGAAGGGGCCCCCAGCCCGGTCTCCCAAGCTGCAGAAGGAAGGTTGCTCACAGGGCAAGGAAGCAGCATGTGGCCCTGCTCCAAACTTTGCTGCCTACAGGGAAATCAGCAAGTGCTGCCTGCACCCTGCGGGCCCCCAGCCCCGTTGCTGCAGAGCAAGCACATGCACCCAATGCCTGTGTCCCACAGGCTGGCACCGGAAGGTCTCCGAAGTGGGACTGTGCCAAGCGAAAGCCCATGAGCAAGACGTTCACACCAGCTTGAAAGAGTAATTTATTTTAAAAAAGCCAAAGAAGTGCTGGCGGCCACACAGAAAGGGACCGGCGCAACACATTCAGTCCCAACACCACAAGCCGCAGCCAAGAGTCTGTCATGTCTGGTAATAACTATCTCTGTCTAATGAAGGTCCTTCCTCTACAGCCAGAGGCTTTACGTAGCTCAACTTGCAGGCACTGAGCCCGTATGTTAGGCAAACCTGAGAAAAAAAGGCAGTCACTGCACATCCATCTTTTCCTGCTTGAGTGATGCAATGAAATCTTTGTACTCCTCAGGATAGAAATTCTTGTACACATTGATCTTTCTCTTAATCTGTTTGGGAGTATCCTGGTAGTAGTTCTTCTCATCTCGAGCCATTTCCTGTGACAAAGGACAAGGGTAAGTCAGAGGAGTGGCCCCAAGAGCAAACTCCAAACCAGTCCAGCCATGCTCCAAAGGCCCACCCAGGCCAGCTGTGATCAGTGCCCGAGTCAGACAGGGACCTGGACAAGGTTCAAAGCACTGCTTCCCCTTAACAATCAGCTGACTATGATTCAGGATCCAGGACAGAGAGGATTAGCGATTCTCATCCTGCAGAAGAACCAGGAGCAAGTTACTTCAGGTGCTCCTCACCCTGGGACAGCCAGTACTTACCTTGTAGTTCTCTCCGTGGTTCTGTATCATGTACCGCACATAGTCAATAAGGTCTCGCGAGAGTGTGTTTGACTTCTTCTCAGGGAGACTGGCCTCATATTCCATCTCTAGGCAGAGGACAGAGACACCGTGAGGCAGGCAGGCAGGGGAGAGAAGCAAGCAGCACCTCAGAGGCTCCCAGCCTCCTCCCAAGATTGAGCCCTGCAAGGACTTGCAGAAAGGAAGTGGCTCCTGCAGCACAGCCTGGCTGCTTACACACACAGGGCTGCTTCCCAGCACAATCATGCAGGAAAACAAACAAGACAACAGCCCTCCCTGTAGGCTGCAGGCATCCAGGCCTGTGCTGTGGCTTCTCTCCAGCTCACACTGCTGAGGAGGGGAGCCTTTCTGCCCAGGCTGCACACCGTGACTCTTCAGAGATGCCCAGCCCACCACTAAAACATGCGGGGTACTGCAGTCACAGTTTCTTGTCACCCTGGTGCCACATACCAGCACATTTCAGAGTGACAAGAGCCCTCTTGGGGCTGCAGGGAGAAATATTGAAAAAAAAAGCAGCAAAAGCAGCACAGGAAGGAAAATTAAATTCCTGAGACAGGATATACAGGGATGGCAGAGCTGCTGTCCTGTTTTCTGGCGCAGCTCCAGCCTGGCTGGGAACCCTCAGCTGACTGCTGCCAGGGGGGATACTCCTCTACAAGCCCACAAGCCTGGAGAAGAATTAACAGCTTTCCCTGCCCCTGGCACAGCACAGTAACTAAGGACAGTCTGGGAGCACAAAGATGAGAGACAAAAATAACCCACAGGGCCCTGGGAGAACCACAAACGGAATGGCAGTGGTGCGGTTTTTTTTAACCCGCCGGGGCTGGAGGTGGTGAAGCAGTCCCCAGGGAGGACAGAAGCAGCACTGACCGTTCACTACGTAGGGCTTTCGCACTATTTTCTTCCCTTGCCCCTGTCCATGGCTTTCCGCTTCCATCCCCTGCATTAAATCGAGAGAGAAGGCAACTCAAGAAAAGCCCATTTGAAAAAGAGCTGTGTCCCCATGCATTGCTCCCAAACCTCCAAGCAGCTTATACAACGGCTGCAAGGACCGAGAAATCTCAGCTGGCTTGAGCAGAGCCTTATTTGCACCACTGAGCTGGCTCATGGGCAAGCCTGCCGCCCGAGCAATACCGTGTGAACGGAGACGAGTGGCAAACAAAGTCACTCCTGTTTATTTTCATGAGTGTGACATTTCACAGGGTCATCTTTCACCTGGAAGCACTGCCCACTGATGCAGGCAGGCTGGGCTGGCACTGCTGCACACAAAGAGGTTTTCTTTGTTATCAGGAGCAACTCGGCTGGCTGCAGTGTTCCCAAGCCCACCTCTCTCCGGCAGGTCCCAGGAGATTGACTGATGTTATTTATACTTTGCTCTAAAGTCCAGTGACTCTGTGACACTGCAGCTCGTTCCCACACCAGGATCTTGGTGAGAAAAACGTATCAATAAAGATAAGAA